CACGCTCCACGCACAAGTCGCAATACAAACGTTGCAATTACTCACTGGTCTTATGCAATATTGAAATGTATTGGTGCTGTATACTCAAATACATTGATTTATTGTAAAAGGATTGCACGCCTCAGTGCACTCAATACGCAAAAGCTTATAAATTTCGAATTGCTTCCAGAGTTTAATTTCAATAAACCTCAGTAATTTCCAATTGAGTTCGAATTTACACATCTATTATTAAACTAATTACATTTTATAACACAAATGTAGCGCATTTGTTTAGGGAATGATTTAAATTTCTGACACAATAATTAAAATTTCACCGTATATTATACAAATTGTCAAAATAGACTCACGTTATGTTTTATTCCCCATATTTTGTCAATCGGCAATCTCAGAAAAAGATCTTCCCATTTAAAAGAAATTAGATAAGATTTTCTATTTAATTTTCTTAATAAAAATTGCTTCGGGATAAAAAAGGCGAAGTAGCTTTTAATAGAACTAAAATAAATAATGTTTTAAATAATATGTGCTCGGTTACAGAAATGAGTTTATTATGTGTGTAAAGAAAGGTAAGGGGCGAAGTGGTACAAGGCAACAAGTGCCTTGCCTCTCAATGCCCGCCGCGCCGTCCCAATGTTCTTTCCAACTAACCTTTAACCTCCTTTGTTCTCTTTATTTATATCGCATAAAGCTACAAAGCGGATTACGTCTAGTTAAAATATACTTTATTGAAACATTCAAACTTAATTTGCATAGGAGATTTGGTGGCGATATATGGGGCGATTCTTAACGGACATACAAATTATCGTTTAAGCGCAAAGAATGTTGCCCGATTTTCAGTAGGTTTGTAATTACTTTTTTTTTTGTGAAAAAATCGCTGTTCGTGCGGGAGACCCTGGCAACACTCGCATACAATTGGACCTTCGAGCCGGATATTCATATGTTTCTGATTCATATCCTGCTCGAAGGACCAGTTGTTTGGTATACATGGTTTTTTGGACAATTTACAGAGTTTACCGGACAGTTCTTTCGTGTCTCCCGCACGAACAATAAGAAAAATCAGACGACGAATACAATTCGCTGGGGCGTCAAAAATAATGTGATTACAGTGGTCATTTTTTTATTGAACAAGCCTGATATTTGTGCTTTTGGGAATAACTCGCACAGGAACGTATTGAAAAAAAATACAAAATATCTTGAAGTAATATTTCTTTTTCAAACGATGAGAAGCTGTATTTATTTTGTTTAACACCGATTTTTTTCCTAATTTTTTTTTAAACTGTGCCCATGCCTGTAGAGTAAAAACTACGGTCGTTTGTTAATTTTTCGTGTAAAATAGAACGATTTCAAATAGTGGTAGGCAGCAATCCAATCCAAATTACAATCTTCTTACAAAATATAGTATATAAAAAATTGGTTTTTCCAAAAAGTCTAAAATTGAACATTTTAATCTTTTTTCGTAGAAACATTACGTCTTAAAACTTCTCAAAGTTGGAGAAAGTAAAATATTATTTTAAGAGAAATATAAAAAACAAACATTTTGTTTTGTGCAAGTTATTCCAAAAAAAGGGATAACGATACGAAAGCCCAATTAATAGGCTTGTTCAACAATAACAATGATCACTGTAAACACGTTGTTTTGGTCGCACGGGTAAATTTTAGCCAGAAACCTGTTTTTACCGATTTTTTTTCACAAGAAAATGAAATAACTTTAAGACTGCAGAAAATTGGGTACTTTGCGCTTAAACAATAGCTATTGAGGTCCGCTACCTGCACAAAGCTCGTGATCCGTTCGTTAAGAATCACCTCGTATATTTTTTTGTCAAAATTGAATTAAGAACATGTTATACTAGCTTCAGCCAAAGACTTCATCCGCGCGGAAAAAACCTAATAAGAAGCCTGTTGTTCCCTCAGACTATTTTACGGATCTGTCCCAAATGTCATCGCCATTCTTTGAGCCGTTTTGGACAAATAACAAACGTTTGTCCATCCATTCTAACTTATCATTAAGCTGTCGCCCTCAAACTTCTTTAGCGCGGAATTAAAAAAAAAAGTCGTCTATAACATTCCTGCTTGCATCAGCTCCCATGCAGTCAAAGAACCGTTAAAATCGGTCCACCCGTTTCAAAGATTGCGATCGGCCGCGATTTTGACAGCCCGGAATTAAAAATGTAAACTTAGACCTTATATTTTTATTAAAATGTTTTAGATCAGCTATCATCACGTCAAGTCCCAACAAAATCGGTATTGCTGTTTCGGAGATGGCGGTCGACGGCCATTTTAGCAGCGTGGAATTTAAAAAATAAGTAGCATATTATATGCATATTCGTATTAGCTACCGTAGTAAAATTGCTCTCAAATCGGTCTAGCCCTTTCGGAGATTACCAGAAATAAAAAATGGCTTGCGGACAGACAAAAAGACAAAATCTTCTTACGGTTTTCGTTATCACCAACGCAAATATGTCATCTTCGCGAAATCTGTTTTTGACCGACTTCCCAAAAGAAGGAGGTACTCAATTCGTCTGTATGTTTTTTTATGTGTGTTACGGCATAACTCCGCCGCTAGTGGATCGGTTTTGATAATTCTTTTTTTATCCGAAAGGTAATGCTTGCAGGTGGGTCCCATATTTTTGGTTGATTTTTGGAGTCAAAGCCTACGACGTAGTTAAATAGTTTAGCTCAAAATCGCGCGACGAAATTTAGAGTCATTTTTGCTTTCTTTGCTTATTTTATTTTACATACTGT